TCTGGTCTGAGTCCACGGGAAAACCTTGTAATGAATGAGAAGGCGACCAGAGTATTGTCAGATGTGACTCTGGGAGAATCCAGACAGGTTGCCTCCGTCTTCCTTTCTCTTGTCTCTGCCGCCCTCCCCTCTGCCCTCACACCCACCTCTCTGTCTCCTCCTCCTCCCTCCCCTTTCCTAGAATTGCCTTTCCATGTGTGAATTGTGACTGCTTGCTTTGCTTCAGCCTTCACCGTGGGGGCCTGGGAATGCGGGTTGTGTTCACCTCAACTCTGTGCCCCTGTGGAGAGAGGGCTGCCTTCAGAGTTTACTGAGGAAGGGAGGGTGCGGCTGAGTTGCCACCTCCAGGCCTCGGTCTGGCTCCTGTCTGGCAAATGTGCAATAAAGGAATAAAATGAATACACATGATCCAAGTGATAGTGGCTTTTCCTGGGGCAAGGAGGGATTGTTCACTTTATTTACTTTTGTTTGCAAAGCAGAACTCTTCCAGTTCGCTCCCTTGTCCTACTTTTGGTCTCACTGTTCGTATGTCTGTGGGCTGTTTGGGAGAGTGTGGGACTCCATTCACTCAGTGCAGGTTTGCAAAGTAGGCCTCTGTGATGGGTGGGAGAAAAGAGCCAGGCCTGCCCTCCAGGAGTGCAGCACCAAGACAGGAGCCAGGACAGAGGTCAGGCCTGAGTGCCAAGGAGTAGGAGGAGGGGCCCTGAAGGCTGGGTGGAGCAGTGGGAGCTCACCAGGAGGTCTAAGTGTGTATTTGTGTGTGTGTGTGTGTGTCCCACAGGGTGGGGGTGGGGGCACTGATTCAGAGAGTTCCTGTGTGTGTGCTGCAAACACTTATGAAACTACTATGAGAGAGAAGTGTATCATTGACACTGGGTTGGCTTTCATTTCCTGAACTAAATGCTACCTCGTTTCACAAGCATTTATGGGAGCACCTCACATGTGACAGGAGTTCATGAATGTAATGGCAAGCTTGGTTTCTAGTTTATTATGCTTGATCACATTCTCATTTATTCTTCCGATTGAAAGCAGTAAAAACCTTGTTGCTTTCAATGGATGCCTGTGAGCAGCAGTGGCTGAAACACCGGTGGAGCGTTGACAACCGTGGGTTCAAATCCCAGCTCCACCCCTTACGAACTGCATAGGGCTTTGGGCGAGATACTTAGGTTGTCTAAGCCTGGGTTTCCTCGCCCCTGGGAAGGGGGAAAGAGCACCTGCTTCATAGAGTGTGAGAATCAGAGGCATTAAAGCATGCGATAGCAGCCCAGTGCCCAGCGAACGGTAACTGCTCCACGTTAGCTCTTATTAGAGGCCAAGCAATTACCTGTGGTACTACCATCCTGACTTCTAAAGGAGAGCTCTGGGCTGCTTTTTCTTCTGTGCGTGTGTAAAGGTGAGAGCGAACTTTCTCACGCTGAAGGTTACCTTCACCCCAGTTTGTCTTCACGTGTGTGGGTCACGTGTGTGTGTGTCACGTCTGTGCAGTCAGGCCCTGTGCTCCCAGTCTGGAGCAATGGATCCCCGGAACAACACCACGGGACACAGAGCAGGGATTGCTGGGTTCCTGGCATTTGTAGGTGCACTTCTCCTTCACGGCCAAGTTCAAATGCCTCCTCCTGGCCAAGCCTTTCCCGACTGCCCAGGCAGACTGCAGTGTTCCCGCTGTGTGCCCCCCTCGCAGGCCATCAGGCACCCTCCCCACCCCGTCTGCTCCTGGTCACCCTTCGCTCTGGTGTGTGTATGTGTTCATGTGCCTCCTTGTGTCATTTATTTCTACTGCTCCAAATTTTGCAACCACCGATAGCATAAAACCCAGACTTTTTTGATCAGCATAGTCCTAACCACTATGCTCTCAGGCAAGCTGCCCCCTTCTCTAAGCCTCCATTTCCTCACCTGTACAGTGAGGATAGTAACGGTCCTTACATGGTTGCAAAGACAGAATGAAATAACTCAGGCCAAATAGTTAAGTCAGTGGCTGGTGAACGTGGGCCTCAATAGAAGTTGGCTATTACTATGATAACTCTTTTGAACACGCTGTGTTTTAACATATCTCAGTGCCTTTGCAGCTGTTCATTCACTCAGCAAATATTTGTTGAGTACCTTCTCTGTACCCGGCCCTCTTCTAAGTGGAGGATGGAGCAGTGGTTAAAGCAAAGTACATACTTCCATTGGGTTTACATTTTGGTGTTCCCGCCAATGAAAACATCTTCCCTGGCCATTATCTTTAAACATTCAGAAAAGTTAGGAGAATAACTTTGGACACTGAACCTGCTTTTTAAAATCTTTATTCTTTGTTCTATTTGCTTCAGATATTTTTTTAACTGAATAAAATATGACAGATAAAGCTGAAGGCTCCTGTATGTTGCTTCCCTGTTCTCATTGCTCTCCTTCTCTCCTCACAAGTAACCTGCTTAATAAATTTGGCGTTTCCCATCCTCAAGCATGTTTTTATATTCTTACCACATGTGTCTACATCTCTGAACCAGCTGAAGTAAGACTGCCTGTTTTCAAATTTTACATAAATGATGCTACTCTGCATAGAGCATTCTTCAACTGTTTTTTTTTTTTTTCTGGGCTAACATACCCTTGAGATTTACCCATATGAAGCATTTGACACTAGGTCATTCATTTGAATAGCTGCATAATAGTCTATGAATGAACATACCATAATTTATCTGTTCTCTTGTTGATGGACAATTATTCCCAGTGTTTTTCTTTTCTTTTTATTCCCCATTACTCTACATCCTCCCCAACTCCTAATAATGTCAGAATTTTTAATTTCTGTCAATCTGATAGGTATGAAATGGTAACTCATTGTTGCGTTATCTTTCATTTCCCTGATAACTAGTGAAATTAAATTTATTTTTTCAATGTTTGTTGAACATTCAGATTTCTTCTTTCAAGAATTATCTGTGCATACACGTTGATCAATTTATAATGGGGCATTTTGCCTTTTTCCTTTTGATTTGTAGGACTTTTTACATATCCTGGACAAAATCCTCTGTAAATGGTAGTTCTTACAACTATCCTGTTTCAGTTTGTAGCTTCTTTTTTTTTTAACTTTTTAAAAACATATATATTTCTTTATTGATTTCAGAGAGGAAGGGAGAAGGAGAGAGAGATAGAACATCAATGATGAGAGAGAATCACCGATCGGCTGCTTCCTGCACGCCCCCAACTGGGGAATGAGCCCGCAACCCAGGAATGTGCCCCTGGCCAGAATCGAATCTGGGACCCTTCAGT